TCAGCGGCCATGGCTCACGGGCCCAGCCGCTCCGCGGCATGTGGGATCTTCCTGGACCGGGGCACGAACCCGTGTCCCCTGCATCGGCAGGCAGACTCCCAACCACTGCGCCACAGGGAAGCCCCTGGTTTCAGTTTTACAAGAGGAAAAAATCCTGGAGGTGATGGTGGTGATGGCTGCACAACATTTTGAGCGTTTAATGTCTCTGAACTGTATATTAAAAATGGCTAAGATGGTGAATATTATGCTGTGTGTTTTTTATAACAATTAAAAATTGTCTCAGTTCCAGGTCCTCCTGGGCCAAGAGGTGAACCCTGACTACCCCAGCCCACCAAGTTCCTGCTCTTCTGAAGTGCACACAGACCTTAGTTAAGCAGTCGTTCTCTCAATCCAATCTGCAAATTCCCTGGGGCGGGATCTGAGACTCTTGCACCTTTGAATCCGACACAGGCACCCAGCACAGTCAAGCCAATAGGCAGGTGAGGGGGAAAGGGCTCTGGACCCAGAGGGAGGAGCGCAGAGGGCTGGCAAGCCTCAGTTTCCTCATCTACAAAACGGGATGATAAAGAGTTGTGGGAGGCAAATGACCAAGAGCTTTGGAGCTGGCATGGCACAGTGCCAAGGGGTGCTGTGACTCACTTTGGGCATGAAGGATAAGACAGCAAATACAATGAGCTAGGAACTCTTTATTAACTGGCTTGATGCCCACCATGACCTTATGAGACTAGGTTCCTCTTGTTATCACCCCCAATTCACAGATAAAGAAACTGAGGCACGGGACTTCCCTGGTGGTCCAGTGGGTAAGACTCCACGCTCCCAGTGTGGGAGACCCGGGTTCGATCCCTGCTCGGGGAACTAGATCCCACATGCATGCCACAACTAAGAAGCCCTCACGCTGCAACTGAGGATCCCACGTGCAGCAATGAAGATCCCGTGTGCCGCAACTAAGACTTGGCGCAGCCAAAATAAATAAATAAATAGGGCTTCCCTGGTGGTGCAGTGTTCAAGAATCCACCTGCCAATGCAGGGGACATGGGTTCGAGCCCTGGTCTGGGAAGATCTGGGAAGATCCTCTGGCCCCCAACTGTTTCTGCACCGTGAGCTCGTCTGCAGAAGGAAAACGCATGGCAGGAGCTGCCAACCCAGGCCGCTCTGCCCGAGAAATCCAGGCCTGACCCACCAATAGGCTCTCCTTTGAAGCCTTCTGTGGGCCCCAAGCTATGCAAGGAGCTGGCACTCACCCCGAGGTGGCAGTGTCTACGATGGCAGTGGAAAGAGCCTGGATTTGGAGTCAGGAGACCTGCAGGGTCTGCCGCTGATCAGCCGTGTGGCCCCGGGGGAGCACAGCTTCCCTGCAACTCTGTCCTGCCCAGAGCAGGGGCCACACGGTGGGCGAGAAGCCTCTCTGCCGCCGACCAGCCGCAAGACCCTGGACAAGCCCTGCAACCACACTATGCTTGGGGCGTGCTGACAACAGCACCTGCCTCACGATGTGAGTGTCTAGGAGACACTTAGAATACGCTGCATGTTGGCAAACATCTGCGTCTCCTGTTCTCATCTGTAAACTGGTGTTGTCACAGCAGCACTCTTCACAATAGCCAAGACATGGAAGCTACCTGAACGTCCACCGACAGATGAATGGATGAAGGAGATGTGGTGCGTACACACACACACACACACACACACACACACACACACACAATGGAATACTACTCAGCCATCAAAAAGAATGAAATAATGCCATTTGCAGCAACATGGATGGACCTAGACATTACCATACTAAGCGAAGTGAGTCAGAAAGAGAAAGACAAATACCGTATGATATCACTTATAGGTGGAATCTCAAATACGATACAAATCAACATATCTACAAAACAAAAACAGACTCACAGACATAGAGAACAGACTTGTGGTTGCCAGGGGTGGGGAGGGAAGGAATGGGAGCTTGGGATTCGCAGAGGCAAACTATTATATATAGAATGGATAAACAACAAGGTCCTACTGTATAGCACAGGGAACTATATTCAATATTCTGTGACAAACCCTAATGGAAAAGAATATGGAAAAGAATATATATAAATATATATGTATAACTGAGCCACTTTGCTGTACAGAAGAAATTAATACAACATTGTAAGTCAACTATACTTCAATAAAATTTTAAAAATAAATAAATAAACTGCTGTCAATTGTTATTTTATTTTATTTTTTTTTTTGGCCGTGCCACGCAGCTTGTCTTAGTTCCCCAACCAGGGACTGAACCCAGACCCTCAGCAGTGAAAGCGCAGAGTCCTAACCACTGGACTGCCAGGGAAGTCCCTAAACTGCTGTCAATTCTATCCACCTCACAGTTGCAAGGGTTAATAACATAAGAAATATGTACTTAGAAAGGTATTTATAAAATACAGGGCACTAAAATGTCAAGACATTTTTATTAATATTTCACTCATACAAAAAAAATCCTATGGACTTCCCTGGTGGCGCAGTGGTTAAGAATCCACCTGCCAATGCAGCGGACACGAGTTTGATCCCTGGTCCGGGAAGATCCCACACGCCACAGAGCAACTAAGCCCGTGTGCCACAACTACTCAACCCGTGCGCCACAGCTACTGAAGCCTGCGCACCTAGAGCCTGAGCTCTGCAACAAGAGAAGCCACCGCAATGAGAAGCCCGCGCACCGCAATGAAGAGTAGCCCCTGCTCGCCACAACTAGAGAAATCCCGCGTGCGGCAACAAAGACCCAACGCAGCCAAAAAAAAAAAAATCCCACAGAGGAGCAGTTGGCAGGTCCTTGCTTACCATGGGGGCCACACAAGGATTATGACACACCCAAAATGACTCTCTCACAAGTCTATTAGTGCAATTTCAGGATAAGCAAAGGTTACTTTTGTCCCCTCTGTCCTTGACAATTCTTAAAGTGCAAACCCTTATAAAAGAAACGACCCTGTCAGCAGTTTTTCCGTTTGATAGCGTTTTCCCATGGAGTGGGAAGGCCTCCAACTAGGGCAACAGAGGGTCCAGCGTGGCCTTGCTAGGAAGCAGGTTCTGGTGTCCTGTGGGGACGAGCCGCTGTGAGGGTCACTAAAGTGGGTGTGAAGGGGACTTGCCAGGCACAGAGCCGGGTGAGGATGGCAGGGCAGGGCTGGGCAGGACTGTGGGCCCTGGGGGCGGAGCCAGGTGCCCACGAGGCCAGAACCACCCTGGAAAGGACTGGAGCTTCCTGAGGCAGAAACTGGCCTACAAACGGGGCTCCCACGAGGGGTCCCAGGCCCAGGGCTCCCCGGGCCAGCCGATCAGCAGAGTCACCTCACAGCTTGTTAGAAATGCCAATTCTGGAGTCCTACCCCCAAAGGCTCAGTGAAATCCAGACCTAGGAACCTGCATCTCTGAAAGCCCTCCAGACACTCTTCTCATGTTTGGAAAGCAATACACACTGGATTTAAATTTTCTAACAGATCTATGCCTTGACAATGTGTGTGACTATCTGTGCGTGGGGGCCAACTCCCCATTATCTACACCAGCTCCCAAATAGCAGGCAGTCCAAAATGCATCCCTACTGAGTTCTGATGTAAAACCAACAGGGTGCGACTTCCTTAGCGGTTCAGTGGTTAAGATCTACCTGACAAAGTAGGGGACACGGGGTCGAGCCCTGGTCTGGGAAGATCCCACATGACGGGGAGCAACTAAGCCCGCGCGCCACAACTACTGAAGCCCGCATGCCACAACTACTGAAGCCTGCACACCTAAAGCCCGTGCTCCGCAACAAGAGAAGCCATCGCAATGAGAAGCCTGTGCACTGCAACGAAGAGTAGCACCCGCTCGCCGCAACTAGAGAAAGCCCGCGCACAGCAGTGAAGACCCAACGCAGCCAAAAAATAAATAAATAAAGAATAAAAATAAAACCAACAGGGTGGGACTTCCCTAGCGGTCCAGTGGTTAAGACTCTGCGCTTCCACTGCAGGGGGCACAGGTTCGCTCCTCGGTCGGGGGGTGGAACTAAGATCCCACGAGCCTCTTGGCCCAGCCAAAGATAAATAAATAAATAAATGAAATGAAATGAAAAAAAGAAACCCAGCAGGGTCAGGATCCGCCAACACGGAAGCTAACTTACTCCCTGTGCCTAGATGAGCCAGGAGGCCTGGGGCAGGCCACCCAGGATTTGCTGATTATGGTGGAAAAACCAACAGTGAAAAATAACTGTGCACACAGTGCAGGCAGCCTGGTGCTTCCACAAGGGGCTATAGGAGCCACTCAGACAACAGAGGGACCTCACACTCCCGTGCTGCAGGCGTGTGACAGGGACCCGAGGTAAGAAAAACGTCCACCTCCCCTTGAGTAAGCCACAGATATAAATCGGTGTGGGGAGACTGGTAGGGCTCTTTCGTAAAACAATATTTACGCCTATGTGTACCTCCTGCTATTTCATGGAGTTTCCAAACATGCCAAATTGCGGGTGAAATGAGGCAGTGAGAGAGCAGGGCAGGGGGGTCGAATGAGGGAGGGGGTTTTCGACTCTGCCCCACCATGGGCTGTGTAAACCGCTGGAGAACTACTTAACTCCGTGCCTCAGTTTCCCTGACTGCACGAGTGGTGGGAAAACAGTACCACACCACGCGGAGTGCACTCCATAGTGCCCAGGCCGATTAACAAGCCACCGTTGTGACTACAAAGGCCCCGAGAGAGGAAATGTTCAGCCAAAGGTCATAAGGCCAGTGAGAGACGAGGGAAGCTGAAAGGGGCAGAGCTGCGGTTTTTTTTTGTTAAAACTGCCGTGATGGAAGGGATTTCACCCAGCGGTTGACAGGTGATCTGCGCCCTCGCAGCCTCGCCCCTCGGCTCGTATCGCAGCCCCCTCTGCACTCCCACACCACCCAGCGCGATGGGCGCGGGCTGGACTTGGGGGAAGGGGTCTGCGGACAAAAGCGCCCAGGTCTGAGGCAGGCGAGCGGCAGAGAGGAGGACAGAGAGAGAGGTCGGAGGACGCGGCCAAGCGGGTCTACCTTGCAGGAGGGCGCAGCACTGGCCGTCCGCGGTGCTCCAGAGTCGGGCCGTGCCGTCCTCGCTGCCCGTCAGCAGGCGCTGCCCGTCGGGGCTCAGACTGAGCCAGTTGATGCCCCCGCGGTGGTCCGCGCAGACCCTCAGGGCAGACCCTCCGCCCCCCATCCCGCCGGTCGGGCGGCGGACTTAGGAGGAGGCTGCGCCCCGCTAGGGAGGGGCGCCCGGGTATCCTCGCCGCGGCTCCCTGTGGCTGCGTCCCGCGGTCATCGCGGGGCCCCCGGCTCCTGCGGAAGCACGCGGCGCGGGTGAAGCGCCGAACGCTCGCTCCCGTGCGTCCACCCGGCCTCCCGGCCCGCGGAGGCGGCGGGGGCTGCGCTGCGCTGGGCGGCCCACTCGGGACTCCCGGTCCCCGGGTGCAGCAGTCGCAGCCCCACCGGCGCGGAACGCCTCCCTTGCCCGCGCCCCCAGGGAAGACCCGCACCCCACCTGAGCAGAGGCGTCCCGGGGAGCGCGGGAAAGCCCGGACCTCTTCTCGGGGCGCCGGGGACGGGGAGAACACGGGAAGCGGAGCGCCCCGCGTACGCTCCCCGGCCCGCTCCGCGCGCTCCGGGCGGCCGAGGCGAACAATACAGTTCAGCCTGGCTCCTCCTCAGAGACCACCCCTCAACCTGTCCCCTCCCACTTTCCTGGCCTGCGCTCCCGCCCCCGCCCCCGTCCCCGCCCTCACCCTCTCGGGACAGACCTCAGCCCGCGGTCCCCGCGCCCGCCCCTGGGACGCCGCGGACCGCTCGGCGTGCGACGGTTCCGGCTGCCCGGCCTGCGCCTCTGGGCTCCCGCCCCCTGCCACCCCCGCCAGGACCAAAGGCCGGGACGAGGAGGAGGAGAAGGAGGTGGACTGCAGGGTCTGGGCTGGGGAGACGCTCATGGCGGGAACTCACCCGGGCCCGCGGCTGCGCGCCACCACCAGGCAAGTCAGCTCCTTCCAGGCTCCCAGTCCTAAGGACCCTGCCAGAGGGGCTCTCGGGGGACTTGGGGTCGGCCCTGCTTGTTGGAGAGCGCCCTGCGTCCGCCCTCGCTGGGGAATCACGTGCACACCCCGAATCCTATATAAGTCCCGCAAGAGGAGGGGGAGCCCCCCCCTCCCCACCCCCCCGCGCTCCCAGGCTCGGCGCGCATCTCTGACTGTCCACCGAGATCTCTGCAGGAATCCAACGCCCCGGGCAGCGAGACCTCCTGGAGCGCGGGTCTGCGTGTTCCCATCAGGCAGTTCCGGTGCCGGCTCGGCGGCCGGGGGGGGGGGTGGGGGTGGGGATGGGGGCGGGGGGGGGCGGGGTGACCCCCCTACTCGGATCCTCTAGGTCCTAAAGGTAGCAGGATTTCCCCGAACCCTCTAGGACTCTTTAGAGAAGCTAGCCTGGCGATCTCAGATCGGATTTGTATCTGTGTGTTTTGTGGGGCGGGGAGCAGGGTGGCTTTGGAAAGCTAGCCCTCATCACGACGACCGGACCTTCTAATGGTTGACCATGTCCAGACTCCGAAAGAAAAGCCCATAATGGGGTCCCATGGGGCATTGGGCCATTTATTCTCCAAGTGGTCAAAACTAGAGAAACACATTCTTTCTTTCCCCAAATTTGTGAATCACCTTGCAGCTCCGCTTAAGGAGTGGGAACTTAACTTCGTAGGCGATGGGGGCCACTGAAGGGTTTGGGGGGGCGGGGGGGTTAGACGTTTGGAGACGTTTGGAAAAAGACTGGTGGAGATGGGTTGAAAGGAGGCAGGAGGGGGCTGCTGGGATCCAGCAGGAGGGAGGAAGGCAGAAAGGGCAGGGATATTCCAGAGGTGGACTCTTCCGAAGCCAGATGCCTGCTGGGAGGAAGGGGGGACTCTGGGAGTCCCCACTGCGCCCAGAGACTGGGTGGATGGTGGCTAATGACACCTGTTCAGAGGCTGCTTCTACAGGCTGATCATGAGTTCATTGTAGGACCTGTGTGCTTAAAGGGGCCACGGCAACGTCCCGATGTGAAGACTGATGGGCATCTGGCCATACAGGTACAGCCTACAGCTGAGGCCAGGCAGAAAGGGTGGGAGTCATGAGCATGCCTGGGAGCTGCAGCCCTTGGGGAAGGTGAGGTGAAGAGCAAGAAGACATAGGAAGAGTTTACACAGAGAAGAGCTGATACCGACCAGGGTTCTTGGCCTTCCCCAGTCGATAGAAATTGACTAGAGGCCAGACAAGAAATTCAGGCAAGGCTTTATTGGGGCCCCTGCTGCAGCAGGGGGGAGGGAGAACACACAACAGGTTCCCTTGCTCTCTCGCTCCCTGTGTGTGTGGGTGAGCTTGTTCCTTATATGGGGTGAGGGTAGGGGTCTGGGGGTCAGGCTGGAGGGGTGGCATAGGTGTTTCACCCACCCTTCTGGTGGCGTTGTGTGCAGGGGGCATATGCAGAGTACCCTGCTTTTGCTCCTGACTCCCATCTTCTGCTCCGGGCTCTTCAAAAGTGGCAGTAGGGGTTTTTTTGGTCTTTTGTAGCTTTTTGCCCATAGTTTGTCCCAACTGCTCATGCATGCAGTTTTTTTTGTTGTTTTTTTTTTTGTTTTTTTGCGGTACGTGGGCCTCTCACTGTTGTGGCCTCTCCCATTGCGGAGCACAGGCTCCGGACACGCGGGCTCAGCGGCCATGGCTCACGGGGCCAGCCGCTCCTCAGCATGTGGGATCCTCCCGGACCGGGGCACGAACCCGCATCCCCTGCATCGGCAGGCAGACTCTCAACCACTGCGCCACCAGGGAAGCCCTCGCTGGGTCTTAGTTGCGGCAGGCGGGCTCCTTAGTTGTGGCATGCAAACTCGTAGTTGCGGCCTGCATGTGGGATCCAGTTTCCTGATGAGGGATCGAACCTGGGCCCCCTGCATTGGGAGCACGGAGTCTTAACCACTGGGCCACCAGGGAAGTCCCAGGTACTGGGTTTTGATTTGGGGTGATGAAAAAAGTATGACTAGATAGTGGTGATAGTTGCACAACACTGTGTGTCACTGAAGTGTACAATTTAAAGTGGTTACAATGATAAATTTTGTTATGTGTATTTTACCACACACAAACACAAAACATATTGTATTATTGGAAGAAAAAAGAGGGCTTTGTGAAACCTCAGTATTATTACTATTATAATTAATGTTTGGAAGACGATCATCAGAGAATTAAAATTATTGTTTGGGCAATAATACATGGCCATATACCCTTAGCACCCTGTATATACATGTCCCACACTATGAGTGTTGCCAGGGTCCAGAGAAGGATGGGACCAGCATTAGATATCAGAGAGTCCCCTAGTTTCTGAGCAAGGGTCCTGAAGCAAAATGCACTGGACCACTGGGCTCAGGTCTCCCCACTCCCCACCCCCCTCATTCCCAGGATGACATGCTCTCAATCTGCTCCAAGGAGTCACTGTCCATTCTAAAAAGGGTCAAGGCTTAGAAAACCAAATCTCCCTCTCATGACAAGAAAATCTCTTTTACTGGCCACTGTAGGAGTCAGGCCCTCTGGACAAGAGAGTTGCCACTCAGAGACTGGCCCAGAGGAAGGTTCACAGACTCAACACGCACATGGCTCTCCAAGCTCACCCCACATCCGGCACTGGAATGTCTGGGCCTTTCCTGGGTGTCTGACCGGGGCAGTGTTAGTAAAGACATGGCTATTCTGTTTTAAAGCCAGCTGGTAAACATCCCATCCCTGCAAATTTCATTTTATCTCCCCCACAGACTCTTCCTGGCAGCTTTGGAGAAATATCAGAGGCTAACTAGACAAAGGAAAGGCAGTTTTTCAACAGCTTTCAGAATTCACTAGCTTTGACTTCAAGTCTGGCCAATGTGAAGTAATAGGGATTGGATTTACCCTCCTGCTTCCTACCTGAAACAACCAAAAACCAGACACATAAAATATGTGAAGTGGTTTTTAAGACACTGGGCATCTGGCAACAAAGGACAGCAGTTCCTGAGAGACAGGGACAAATGAGGTGAGTCCTATGAGAGGCCAACTTACTGCCCTGAGAAAATTTCCAGACCTCAGAGCAGGAAGGGGGAGCCTGGATGGAGCCCAGTGGACCCCCTGAGTTTCAGAAACAGCTGAACAACCAGGACAAACAAAATGCCTAGAGTTGGTCGGATAAAGTACCAGAGAGCGGAGACCCCTGGAGACCTATGGAAGGTCCCTCTCCAGTATGCAGCTGGAGACAGATTAACAGGTGCACACGAGGAAACGACCCAAGGTGGGAAAAGGATTACTGCCCAACCCCACACAGGGTCGAGAGTAGTGCACCAAGGACATGAAAACAGTTATTGTAACTGTATTCCATGTGTTCAAAAGGTGATGTAGAATCAAGGAGTCCCAACTGAACTTCTAGAGATGAAAGCAATGTCTGATATTAAACAACAGCAACACTGGATGGAATTAACAGCAGATGAGGCATTTCAGAATAAAATATTAGTAAACTTGAAGACATAGCAGTAGAAACTATCCAAAAACGAAAAGCAGAGAAAAAAAGAATTTAAAAAACGGAAAAAGCATCAGCAAGCTGTGGGACAACTTCACGCAGCCTAATATGTGAGTAATTGGAGTCCTTGAAGAAGTGGGGAGAAAGGAGGGAACAGAAAAAATATTTGAAGAAATAAGGGCTGAAAGTTTCCAAATTTGATGAAAGTTATAAATTCACAGATCCAAGGAACTCACCAAACCCCAAACATAAAAAACACAAAAGACACAGTTTCATCAAGAAGAATATATAATCTGATAGCCCTGTATCTATTTTTAAAACTGAGTTTGTAGTTAAAACCTTTCCACAAACAAAACTTAAGACCCAGATGGCTTCACTGGGGAATTGTACGAAATATTTAAGGAAGAAATAAGACCAGTTCTCTACAAATGCTTCTAGAAAATTGAAGAGGAGGGAATGCTTCTCAGTTCATTCTGTGAGGCAAGTATTACTCTGATATCAAAATCAAAGACATTATAAGAAATAAAATTATATGCCACTATCCATCATGAGCATAGATGCAAAAGTTCTAAACAGAACTTTAGCAATCGAATTCAACAATTATATAAAAACCATAAAACATCAAGACCAAGTGAGATTTACCCCAGGAATTCAAAGTTGGTTTAACATTAAAAAATCAATGTGGGCTTCCCTGGTGGTTCAGTGGTTAAGAATCCGCCTGCCAATGCAGGGGACACAGGTTCGATCCCTGGCCAGGGAAGATCCCGCATGCCATGGAGCAACTAAGCCTGTGTGCCACAACTACTGAGCCTGTGCTCTAGAGCCTGTGAGCCACAGCTACTGAGCCCGCATGCCACAACTACTGAAGCCCATGAACCTAGACCCCACGCTCCACAGCAAGAGAAGCCACTGCAATGAGAAGCCTGTGCGCTGCAACGAAGAGTAGCCCCTGCTCGCTGAGAAACTAGAGAAAGCCTGTGCACAGCAACAAAGACCCAATGCAGCCAAAAATAAATAAATAAATTTATTTAAGAAGATCAGTCAATGTATGGCATAAGGATAGACATATAGATCAGTGGAATACAGTTGAGAGACCAGAAATAAATTTACACAAGTATGGTCAGTTCATTTTCAACAGGGTGCCAAGGCAATTCAATGAGAGAAAGAGCAGTCTTTTTTAAAAATGGTGCTAGGACAACTGGATAGCCACATGCAAAAGAATGAATTTGGACCCCCTACCTCACACCATATACAAAAATTAACTCAAAATGGGCCAAAGACCTAAAATGTAAGAGCTAAAATTATAACACTCTTAGAAGAAAACATTAGTGTAAATTTTCATCCCTTAGATTAGGGAATAATTTCTTAGACATGATGCATAAAGCAAACAATTTTTTTAATTGAATCAAAATTTAAAACCTTTGTGCTTCAGGGCTTCCTTGGTGGCACAGTGGTTAAGAATCTGCCTGCCAGGCTTCCCTGGCTGAGAGTCCACCTGCTGATGCAGGGGACACGGGTTTGTGCCCCGGTCCGGGAAGATCCCACATGGCGTGGAGCGGCTGGGCCCGTGAGCCATGGCTGCTGAGCCTGCGTGTCTGGAGCCTGTGCTCCGCAACGGGAGAGGCCACAACAGTGAG